TGCTGCCCTTTGTTTCTTGATTGATTGATTAATTATTTGATTGAATGATTAATTGTGTGATTGATGGATGCATGGGCTGATTGATTGATAGATTGACTGGTTGGCTGACTGATTGTTTTGTTTGGTTGGTTGATTGGCTGTCTTATTGATGGATGAATGGGTTAAAGTGCTACTTGCATGAAAATGGCCATTTTCAAAACTTCAAGCAATACAAATATATGACTCATTTATATCTATTTAAAACAATTGTGGGAATTTTTTTTTTTTTTTTTGGAATTATCACGAGAAATTTTGATTCAAAAGATGGAAGAACAAAAGGATGGAGTAAATGACGTCCTCTACTCCAACATTTTTTGCCCAAATTATTATGGATTTGTATCAATATCTTGTTGAAATCTGTTGCTTCACAATTATTAGACCCATATGGATACATGTAGGTCTATTTGATTTCCAAGTTTTTTCAAATGATTTGCAATTTTCGTCCAAGTAGCCCTTTAATTGATTGATTGAATGATAGATTGGTTGGTTGGTTGACTGACCAGTAGGTAGAATTATTGATTGTTTGATATATTGACTATACATGTACTTTACATTTACATTCACATTATTAACACTACAAATATCAATCTGCTATTTAAGGCATGGTGGTCTCAAACGAGGAGATCAATTATTATCTGTTAACGGAGTGGTAAGTACAGACATGTAATATATTAGAGCAGATTTCGTATGAGTGGGACACCGTTACCGCACGGTCACTGCACAGTTACCGGACCTGGCCTGCACAATTTTGGTGAACCAATGGGGCACTAGAATTTKVTTAMARTACGATTACGGTCACAGTACAGTACCGTCCGTTTCCCACTCATACGAAATCCGCTCTATTTTGATCTAAATTACTTTTGAGTACTCGGTGTGATATCATTTCTTCAAATGTCTTTTTCTTTTAGAGTGTTGAAGGAGAAAACCATGAAAGAGCTGTAGATCTTCTGAAAGCTGCTCAAGGTTAGCCCACATTGGATAATTAGGTTGACTAAAGGCCTGTTTTTACTGGAAATTTTTGCAGCGTCATAATCGCCACTTTGCTATCATGCAACTAAAATCACACTTGTAAACAGCCCTGTGATTGTTAGGGCGATGGAAAATCAAAACGTTTTTGCTTGTTCTAAGTCAAAATAGAAGTAGTGTTGCTGATTCTACATAGAAAGCGTAACAAAGGCTTTTAAGGAGATATTAGGGTCTATAATAAGTGTGAAGACTACAACTACCATCATGCTTTGCTGCAGAAAATTGCGTTGCTGCACATTGGCTTTCTTTTTTGCATGGATATTGTATGTCTTGAAAGATGGGCTGTGATAACATTTTTTTTTATCTAACCTTGTTATAGTACAATTTGGGCGGGATACCTTCAAAACTTTTAACATTTTTTTCTTACTGTCTTGTTTTTTTGTTGTTTTTTTTTTCAGGAAAAGTACGACTGGTAGTGAAGTACACACCAAAATGTGAGTTGTATTTCAGGTTCCTTATCAAATTATTTGTATTAATTAATTGTTAAATACTTT